CACACCATAGAACCGGACAGTCCCTTAAAACATGCAAACAGACTCCACAGTAGCACCGCAAAAGCCATAAGAATCATCCCTAGATGAACCTGTGCGTTGCTCATTAGTAAGTAACTTCCCATGCAAAGCTAGCTAGCCACAAAAACTCTTTTACGCGCTCTGGACGACCCTGCCAATTCCAAACACTCCTCCACTTTGTATATTGTGCAGGTATTCCGAAGTAAACATAAGATTTTACAGAGGAGGAAGTAAAAACACATCTCTTTAAAAGCAACAAAGTAAAATCAGTACTTTAAGGAGAAAACATTAAATTAAACTGTCCTAAATAAAAATAATCTAAAAAATTATAGATTTTTCTATTAACATACGCTAAAAAGTTTTCATTTTCTAATTTTATATCTCGAATTATGAATTATATGGTATTTTTATTAAATTCCGCTCATTTTTTATGTGTGACCTTTTTGAAAAAATTAAAATTTTTCCTAGTTATTTTTTATTTATTTTTTGTATAGGAATTTTAATTTTAATTAAATTAATTTTTTATTTGATATATATTATTAGACTTTCTAGTTTTTGTATATATTTAAAGGGGATATTTTTTTCTATTTTATTTTTTTAATCCAACATTACTAGAGTTGTCTAGTTTTTTTCATATAAAGAGTTGCCATAGCTTTTTAAAAAATGTGAGATTGATAAATAAAATTTAAATATTATAGTGTCTCTTCATAGCTATATATAGTTTTTTTTAATTTTTTATTTTTTTTCTCCTGATTACATCAGTTGATGTAGTAGAGGAGAACATATTCGTGGTAAAGGATGTTAGTTTTCAGCTAAGGAGATTCTATCTCGTGAACATTAAATTCAAGAACTAAGCTCTTTAATTGATTTTTAAATTCAAGAACTAAGCTCTTTAATTGATTATTTTTTTATTTTTTTTTAATATCATGGCTGAAGGTCATGAAAGATCTGCTCATGAGGGAGGATGGTTTTTGATTGAGAAAGTCTGCTCTAATAACTTAGGTTGACGTGTTCATGGTCGACAATAATTTCCTATCTATAGGTTTTGCCCTAAGAACATTATACAAATATTAAAAAACCATATAATCTTTTTTAATAAACATTGTTCACCCCGGACGGCAAGTGAAGAAGAACTGACACTTGGTCACCGACAACTTGAATGACACGGTCCATTTAAGTTGGTTTTTGCTAGCTGCTGCAACTGCATCCTGCCAAATGGTGCGACTATCTTGAGTCTGCAAGAGCATCATGATCGATGGATCCTGTGGGCGCACGATCACCAAACTAGTAGAAAAATGCCAGGAATGCATCAGTTAAAACAAATCAAGTATGACAACCTATAAACTCACTAAATCAAAACTATAGGTAGAGTAAAATCATTGTCCTATAGTTAGTGGGTTTAGCCTAAGTTAATCTAGTATTTTTTTTATTTAATTATATATATAAATATATTTATATTTATATCCAAAATCATGTTAAAAAACTTTATATATTTAATTGTTTTTGCTAGAAAAAATTATCCCACCAGCAATGACAAGTGGGCAATTTAGGTAGTGAAAACTAATAGCGCAAGACTAGCGAGGTAAGGCTAAAAACAGCGTCTGTGAAATCAGCGGGCATTTATATATCAAGATAATAAAAGGATTATAATAAATCCCATCCTTATCAATCGAGAAGAAAAGCCACCCAGATTTGATCAGATGTTACCTCCACTCAATCCATGGGCAGTTCTTTTTACGGTGGGAAAGAAGAAAGCATTTTCTTGAAACCTGACACACTGTTGAGCCTTTTCTTTTGATGAATCAATGGTTTTCGCTTGCGTAAGGAGCGACTTAATTCTTACATACCATCCTGCTCCAACAAGATCCTCAGTGAGGATACAAAATCTGTCAGTCCACTTTGCATAGCTGCAACAAACTGTATTGGATCCTCTGATTAGCAGAGAATACAAAGAAAATGTGATTGTCTTCTTCTCTGATTAGCAGAGAATACAAAGAAAATGTGATTCTCTTCTTCATCTTCAGACAAACATGGAATGAAAACGAACAATATTCTTCTCCAATATCCCTAGTAGAGAGAGTCTTAATTTTAAGATGGCCAACCAAGCAATAAAATCGTGCCTTGGAATATGTATAGAACCCCGGAAGCCGCTTAAACAAATTATGGATAAATTAAAAATCAATCTAATATGTTTCGGAAAAACCATAACACTCTAATAGTTCTATACAATATATGAAAGAAAAAAAGGTTTTTTCAAGTGGTTTATCTATTAGAAATGTGAAAAGTTAGAATTAACTATAACTAGAAAATATCAATATTTTATTGTAGTGGAAATTATTATGAATCTTGAGTACTTTTACTTTGAATTGTATTGTTTGACACTATAATAAGAATTATTATAAATTATAAGTGATTTCAATGTAAATTCCACTGTTTGGTGCAGCATGATGAGACTGCAAACCCATTCCCTTAGGTTAACTTCAGTTTTGGTGAGGCTGCAAACATCTGGTACTGGAGTTGATCCACGCGCATAATAACAAACACAAAAGAACGAGTTAAAACATCCACTTAAGATGTCTTAGCCTTAGGTATCACATCAAGATCTACTTTTGATGAGTAGACGTCAAGATCAACTAATGTTAGATCTAAAATAAATACGCCAGCCTTTTATTGGGCTAAGGTTTTAAGTAAAATGGCCATTAAGTTTAAACTTGTGCCCCCACATGGCTCATGTTTGGGCTTTAACCCTAACCTTGCTTTAGGTGTAGATTATAAATGATTTTGTTTTTTTATTAACGTGAAAGTTCGGATTAACTTGAATGTATCTTGATTAATTTCACAGGCTCTGAAATTAACGATTATATAATCTTTTAATGACTCCGACTTCTGAGATTTGTGAGACTCAAACTGATAATTTTTAAAAAACAAATACAAAATCTGACTAATTAAATTATATACTTTAAAGCTAAATAATGAAAAAGTTAGTGTTTTAACCTAATCCATAGACCATGAAAAAGTTATTTTCTCCTAGTAAATGTGTTGTCTAACTTATGGAAGAAGTTTAACAAGCTTTCTAAGTTTTTTTTGGAATTAACTCTTTATAATTTTTTACAGCTTTTTAAAATAAAATTTTTTTTTAACAATAAATAATCAAGACTCAAGAGAATATTAATAGAATGATTATAAACCTTTTTATATATATTGAATGATTATAAACTCTCTTTTTTTTTTTTTAAGAACAAGATCACCTTTTAGATCCATCCAATCAAAGTACAAATCCTGACTTATCTAGACCTAATTAAGAGACTCAAAAAGGACGATTCTATAATGCTAGCTGCCTCACCTTAACAGTAGGGTACCGCATTACTCAATGACAATCAAGCATGGAAGTCAAAAAATTATTTATTTTATTTTACGAAAGTCTATTGTTTCCATTGATAGCCAGAACACAAGCAATTTTTGTTTTATGAAAGAGAGTTTTGGCTACGTTACGAGGTAGCTTCCATGTTTAGGTACCACTACAAGTGTTAATTGTTTAGTAAATAATAAATTATTTTTTATTATTAATGAGATTTATCAGAATTTACAAGTGAATATGTGTGCTGCTGAAAGCAACTCCAAGCTACTTTAACACGTGGATAGTAAAGAGTTTTAATCTTTATTGTTCATGTGAACAGGAAAGGATGTTTTCACTATTCACATGAATAGTAAAGATACTTTCCATTGTTTTGATTAGACCGGGTCTGGTCTAATATTGATTCCAATCCAATTAAAAAAATTATGTTATTTTTATTTTTAATTATGTTTTATTTGAAAAATTAATGTTTAACATTATTTAATAATACTATATAAATTAGAAAAAAATCATTGATAATGTAACATTTATAAAATTTGATTATAATTCTAATTTTGTTCATGATGATATTGTACCTGATGTTATTGTGCACTTACGAAACAAATAAAATTGTAGATAGTTTAATGAAACAATAAAAAATATTTCATATTAAGTATTATTCATTTCATAATATAATAGCAATAGTTAAATTTATAATATTTAAATTAAAAACAATTAATATTAATAGATGTCTTTTTTAATTATTTTATACCCTCAATTTAGAAAGCATTCTTATAACCAAATATATTAAACTATTTTTTATTTAACCTTAATTTCAATCACAGTTTTAACCAAACAAATATTTTTTCAAACCAATTTCAACTAAAAATATTTTTTATAAAATAATATTTTTCCAATCATAATTATTTTATAAAATAATATTTTTCAAATCACAATTACAATAGTTATCACAATATCAAATACACGCTTAACCTCTGGTACTGGAATTGAAATCGAGTGCGAGACCTTTATTATTTGTTCTTCTCATTGATTCATCCCTTGCATCTGAACATATTCATAACTTTTTCCATGTTTGCTTCATCATGCCTTCTCTGAAAATTATAAAGTAAAAACAAACGATCAAAGTTAATCATCAAGCTTGAACTTAAATTCTTCTGTTTTTCTGGAAATAAAATGACTGGCAGTTCTTGAACTCCAAACTTGTTAGCTATAGAGTTTCTTTTATTCAGATAAAAAGAGATAAGTAATGTTCTAATGAAAGAATTAAAATTAGAAAACATAAGAGCCATAGAGAAAGAAAGAAGGTTAAGGAGAGTCAGGCGAAACTAACCCCGAAGACGTTGAATAAGTCTGTCAGCTTCAGGCAAATTATCGTCCTCTCGAGCTTTCACGACCATGAGCATTAGATCCAGGCGTTGTTGATTGCACGCAGCCTGTTGTGATATAAGCAACGTTTCTTTTCTCAGTTGATCGCATTCAAGTTCAATCTCTTCAAACTTCTCTCTGATTTCCGTTTGCCCCTTTTTAATACGTTTTTGTTGTTCACCAATCTCTGCCATCTTTGCTTTTAATCTTCTCATGTTTGCTTGTATTTTGCCAGTTCTTTTCCTTTTCTGCACGCCAAGAAAAAAAGAAGGTAAGAACTAAATACAAATGAAGTTAAAAAGAAAGTTGAACTTTTAATAATACATTCCAGACTTTGGTTGTCAGCATAGACAGAGATTGCACCGATAATCGACATTACTTTTTTTTGTGGCCACACCGGATTAACTCTCCTTTAAAAAGCATTTCTTTCCGTCAAAATAGATAAAGAGATTCGTATAAGAAAGAAAATGTAAAGAGTCCATATTAGTGTGCGAGCGATCACCATCCACTAAACATTATACATGCCATGAGAAATTAAAAAATAAATAAAAAAGCCTAGGCAATGACAATAAAATGCCTGTTTAGAGTTCCTCACACACTGAAGAGATAAGAGGAAAAGAATCTAAAAACAGGACATGGACGGCTGGAGAAGTTTGATCGACCAATAAATAAATGAATTAAAGTAATTGCAGGACTCCCACAAGCTCAAAAGACAAGGGAGAAGAAGCTAGCTAGAAGAAGATAGGAATAACGTACGGTAGTTAATGTGATTGTTTTTCTTTTTTAATGAACAATGATGGAACTTTGTAATTTAGAAATGTATTTCTACAGAAATATGATTGATGTAAAGATTTTTGTAAATTAAGAACACGTATTTGAATTATAAAATGAACTTCAACTTCAGAACAATTATAATTAATTCAGAGAAAATTGATTTGTATGTAAGTTAAATTAATGGTGAATCATGTGAACTATAAAAGGCATGGATCAGTAGTTCGAAAGAATAATATAAAATCATTAATTAAACTTCATCCTTTTTTCATCTTTGTATTAGGAATTAATGAATGAATTCAAATCTCATTATTTATTTCTTCTAATTAAAATTAAAAAACTATAATGATGGGCTTGTATTACATGTTAGAAAAAAAATACTTAATAAATTTTATTAAAAAAAACATATCAAATCAAATATGTAAAAATCCTAGAAATTTTTTTAATATATTTTAAAATAAAAAACAATTCTAAAAAACATTATACACTCTCATCGCAAACATGCATATAAAATCAATGTGAAGTCCACAGCAATTATACGTATCAAATTTATCACCACATAACATTCTCGAGAAGGGCGGCGTACGTCGTGTTAGGAATGCCTTCTAGGAGATTTTAGAAACACCCTGGCAACCATCTCCCACTATCCAGGGCTTCTAAATATATATTTCTTTAAATTTTATTTACAGGTTAAGTGCTTGGGTTATGCATTCCTACACTAGCTAGGAGATATATTTAATAAACCTGAAGGTGTATTCTCTTTCATAAAGGTTTGGATTCACGAACAATTTCTTTTATAACTGGTTTCATATATATTTTTATGCGAAAAATAGAGTATAATCTTCCATATATCTAATCATTTCTCCGATCTAAGATCGATTGAGAAGTCAAAGAACTTCATGCATGTACGGGCTAGAGAAAGGGTCGAGCACATTCTGGGCTTCAAGACTTATCCAGGACCCCTTCTTTCATCCAAAGCAACATTGACCTTGGGTAAAATTAAAAAAAAATAAAAAAAATCACATATATACCTGAGCCTTGTTCACAGTCGATCTTTCTTCAGCGAATGCATTCCTGGTGCACTGATCCATTGTATATAGCTCCGACTGGTTCTTCTTATCTACCTTTAAAAAACCACGATCTTCACACGCATGAAACGCAGCCTTAGAAAGCTATGCTTCTACTACCACCGGGCTTGGGATGATTGGAAATCGAGCACCGTCCCCCAATTTATAGATATAACTGCACCGAAAAACACTTCTCATCGAAATCTTCAGGTTGGGGTATGGAAACAGCCGATGAATCTTCGGTCTGTAACTTTTATTGAACGCGCCCGCGACTTGGCGCTTTCATTTTCCTTGTTTTAATTTGAGAGACTCGCAGTCTCGCACGATCTGCTGCTCAAATCGCGCGGTGCGATCGACCCCTTTTATAGGCTAATTGATCATACTCGTGAAGAGAAATAAATAATAATTGGGATGTTTCCTTGAAGGAAAAGCGAGACGTCTCATGAAGGACAAATATATGCAGTGGTAAAGTTCACAAGTTATGGTATAAATTCGTTTTAAAACATTATGATTTTATAAATTAAATACGTTGTTTTTGTAAACATGCTATTTATATTGCATGTGAAAAAAAATATATAAAACACTATAAAAACTTTTATAAAACACTTATCAATTTAAAAACACATGAAACTCACTAAAAATATAAACAACATTGATTTGTTTTTTCAACCATATTTATAGCAAAACTCACCATAATCAAACCCTTTCATTGACTATAATTTTTAACCCAAATATAAATATTTTTTTTATAAATATAAGTGTTTTATATAAATCTAGTCAGTTTATATGCACCTTAACTAATTTTAGAGGTTTTGAATTTAACGATTATATATATCTTGAGTAGCCATGAGATTTGTAGGACTTAAACTAATGATCTCTAGAGAATAAATCTATAAATTCAAAATAACAAACATAAGCCATTTTGTTTTATGGAGTGTGGTCAGCATCCAACAACTTGTTCTTTTTATATATATAATTTTTGATATTTTTTTTTATTTTTCGATTTTATAAAATAAAAAATAAATAGAACAAGATTTTTAATAAAAATAAAAATTCAAAATTTTTTGAAATTAGTTATACATTTTCTCCATTGAAATGTGCTAACGAACAAGTTTCTATCTCCTTGTTCATTTTTCATTAACTTTCATTTTCATCGTTCAAATCCAAGAATTATAAAATAAATGAAATAATTATTTGAATTAAAATAAAAATTCAAAGCCCGACTTGGAACAAAGACAGATCCAGAAAAAAATACACTGTCAAAACTTCTCTTGTGAACCCTAAATATAAACACATATAAAGCGCTGCTTGGAGCCCTAAAACATATTGGCTTCTAGTTTATATCTCAACATGTCTATAGCCTCCTTTAACTTGTATCAGAGCATTAATCCTAACAGCAACAACAGAAACTCAAAACTCATCATCATCATCAAGTTCTTCCTCCTCTACTGTTGCTGCTGCAACAAACCTGATGACTTCTTTTCCAACTGCTGCTATTGCTGCTGTCGGCCCGATTGCCATGACTGCTCCAAATCCAATGCCTTTTCTTTCAAATTCCATACAGCAGCCGATGTTTCGTCAATCAACAGCCTTTCTCCCTCTTTCAAGTGCTCATCACTTTATCTCCCCAAAGCTCACAAATTCAGACATTTGCAGGAAAACATAGATGAAACTTTTTTCGACAAGGACAAGGATTACTTGGCCCTACAGATTGGTCCAAACCGTTCCTTGGTCTTTTGTTTTTCTTGAGAACTCCTCTCTTCCCGAACCAAATCCAGCAATACATGGAAGATGTTTGAGAATGCACTCGCGTTACCATCTAATACTTGAATTATGACCCTTCCTATGGATTTCCAAGAACTTTCCACAACAAGATGCAACTGTTTTGGCCGGCCCTTGTCCAAGACTGATTTCAACCTTTATAATTTAAAGGTTTGAGTGCTGAGTTTAAGGATATTATCACTACTTTATCGACAAGAGTTGAACCTGTTTCAATCAATGAGTTGCGAAGTTTGTCGTTAACTCATGAATTTCTTCACAAGGACAGTACTCTCCTATCATTGACCTTGACCATCGGCCCCTTGAATCCGTCACTCCTGTTCTCGTATCAGTGTGGCAGAACTCCTCCTCTAACAACAACTCTAGCTATTTTCGCGATAATTATAGAGGCTGTAAACGTGAGAGAGGAGCATTAAAACGGATATATATATATATGATCACTCCCCAAGTTATAATATCTTATTTCACTTTTAGATGTAATTAATTTATCTCGTCTTCTCAGTTTTTTATCCTTCACTGATATAGTTCAATATATTTCACTTTAATTCATTTTCTATTTTTTTATATGCGCTAATTCTTTGTACACACATATAGTAAATTGTTTCATTTTCTATTTTTTATATCATATTTGATTATTCCTTATACACATAAATTAAATTGTTACGTGGTTTATAATTGATGATTTAATGATTTAGATTAATTTTCTACATACATTAAATTGTTGATATGAATTGGTTTACAATTATCATAATTATGAATTGGTTTATACTTAACAATTTATTTTTTTCCGGTTAATTAGACTCCTCTAAAGAATATTCTTGCTACACCACACCAATGATAAATATTTAATTCCAAGTTTCATTTTTTTAATTTTTTTCTATTAAAGTTGTTTGAAAATTCTCTTATAAAATATTATTTTCAAAATTTACATAAAAAATTGACAGGTTAAGTAGGAGTTTCTAGAGTGGTGGTACAAAATATAAAAATATATAATAGATTAGCTAAATCAAATATAAAATCAATGGTCAAAATAAAAGCCATACCAGGCACACTCACAAATCACAATAAATATTAATGTATTTGGATATTTCCAAATAGCAATGCAGTAAACCAAAGATGATAGATCTTATTTTGTATTAATCTACCATTAAGAACAAAATAAAAAATAAAAAAGACAGTCATAAGTCCAAAACAAAAAATATGCCAGGTGTTAAATTGCTTTAAAGAGTTTGAAGCAATTGTTTGAAAGCAAAATGGCTAAAAATCAAAACCTTAGGTTCCAATCAAGGTAAAGAATATATATTAGATGACTTTGAAATTTTTTATAAACAACCAAGCATCAAGTATTAAACAATACTAGCCTATACAAGGTAGTTAAATAGTGTTACTAAGAAAAAAAATTGAACTGTACTTGATATAGTAATCTACTCAAAGTAAAGAAGTTATCCAAACAATATTGGGTTAAAATTATATTATATGCAATGTATCTATTAAATTACTGTCAAATTAAAAGTTTGCAAGTTATCACTCCACAAGAAGTATGGAATAGTCTTAAACCAAATGTAACTTATCTCTAAGTCTTTGGTTGCGTGATCTATGCAAAGATCTCAAATGCAAGAAAGATCAAACTTGATAATAAAAACAAGAAATACATCTTTATTGAATGTTGTAATAATAGGATGTGATATGATCTATATAATCACATCATAAAGAAGGTCAGTGTAAATAGAAATGTTATCTTTAAAGAAGATAAACTCGATAATAGAATAAGAATCAATTAGAGTTTAAATGGGTTAGTACTTATAGAATGTCTAATAGTACCAGCAAATAGGCCACAAACTCCAGTATACAGATTCACGGTATTTAACATGAGAAACACACCAACATTAGAATCATCATCATCATCATCAGCATCCTTATCAGAAAACCAAGAAGGATGAGAGACTTGAAAGATTTGTATGATGTCCATGAAGTGACTAAAACTACAAATCTATTTTGTTTTTTTGTAGATAGTGATCCATTTAGCCTTAATAAAGCTGTTATAGAAAAAAATGAATAGAAACAATAAATGAAGAAATACAAGTCATTAAGAAAAATAACACCCGAAAGCTGATTAATTTACCAAAAAGCAAAAAAGCAATTGGTGTTAAATGAGTTTATAAAAAAAAATACAAAAAAAAGTACAAAGTTACAAAGTAAAATTAGTGGCAAAAGGCTACAAGTAGATAGAAGACATTGACTATGGAGAATTATTTGCTCATGTAACCTGGTTAGAAACAATCAGACTAATGATCTCACAAATAACATAATTTAAATAGAAGATCTATCAACTTAATGTGAAATCAACATTTCTGAATGGCTTTCTTAAAAAAAAAAAAGATTTTTGTTGAACAACCACTTAGATACGTTAAAGCCAATAATAAAAGCAAAGTATATAAGGTGAAAAAAGTCTTTTACAACTTGAAGCAAGCTCTGCATGCTTGAAATACCAGAATTGACAGGTATTTTCAAGAAAATGGATTTGCAAATCATTCATATGAACATATAATGTATATGAAGAAAAAAGCTGATGTAATCATACTATTTGTTTACTTATATTTTGATGATTTTCATTGGCAATAATCCTATCATATAGATTTCAAGAAAAAGCATTGTACAAGACTTTAAGATAACATGCATTAGTTTAATGGCATACACTTTATTGGCCTAGAAATGATATAGAAAAAAAATGGGATTTTCGTATCCTTAAACGATTATGCTAAAGACATTCTTGAGAAGTTCATGATGGAAGGTTGCAATTCGATACCAATTCCAGTTGAAAACAGATTAGAATTGAAAAAGAGTAAAGTGAAAAATATTAATCCAACCTACTTTAAAAGTTTAGTAAGAAACTTAAGGTACATGACAAGTATAAGATCAAATATATATAAAATTGTGTTTTTGAAATAAAAAAGATTGTTTTATATATCTCCTCCAACTATTTCTAAATCACCAAGGAATTCTCCCAAGGAATTCTCCCCACCAGTAAGCTTTAGAGTGGGGTTTATATATATATATATATATATAAAGAACTTAAGAAGCAGAACATCAATATATTAGTAATAAGCTAAAAGGTGTAGATGATTCGATGTTTATCCATGCCCAATACACTATAGATTATAATTATAATAGTAATTCACGGTATATTTCTTTTTTTATTACTTTTTAATTTTTTTCATTTTTCCAACTTTCCTCCTTTTTTTCATTTTTTATTTTTTTTTTCAAAATTACTTTCCTTTTTTTCCAAATTTTTTTCCAATTTTTTATCAATTCTATTTTTTTAATATTGAGCTGATTAACAATTTTTCTTTTTAACTTTTTTTCCTTTAAAATATTGTAGATTACTACGATGTTATCCCACATGGTTTTTTTATTTTATTTTTTTATTTTTTAAAATTATTTTTATTGATTTTATTTTTTTAATATTAAACTGATTGAGAATTTAGTTTTTTAATTTAAAAAAAAAAACATTGTTGATTGCTATAGTGTTTCTCTGCATAGTTTTCTTTTGTTTTTTTTAATGATTTTCTACAAAATTATCCTTTTTATTTTATTTTTTAATATTTAGCTATTTAAAAAT